TACATTAAATGTAACTGAGTTTTAGAAGTTGGTTGTGGTTTAAACTGAGCTGATAACTAAGCCCACACAGTCTCTCATTCAGTTTCTGCCATGATGGGATGGGGGTAGAGAACTGGAAGAGTAAAAGTGATAAAACTTGTGGTTTGAGATAAAGACRGTTTAATARGTAAAGTATAAGTTGTGCATCTGAGCAAAGCAAAATAATGAATTCATTCACTGCTTCCCATTAGCAGGCAGGTGTTCAGCCATCTTCAGGAAAGCCAGACTCCATCACATGTAATAGTGACTTGGGAGGACAAACTCCATCACTCTGAATGCCCTCCCCTTCCTTGTCCTTTCCCCATCATTATGTTCTGAGCATGATGCCATGTGGTGTAGGATATCCCTTGGGTCAGTTGGGATCAGCTGTCCYGGCTGTGTCCCCTCCCAACTCCTTGTGCACCCCCGGCCCTCTCGCTGGTGGGGTGGGGTGAGGAGCAGRAAMGKCCTTGATGCTGTGTAAGCTCAGCTCAGCAGCAGCAAAAACAMCYCTGTGTTATCCWCACTGCTTCCAGCMSAAATCCAAAGGATAGCCCSTGAATTTTCTAACTATTGTGAAGAAAATTACCTCTATCCCAGCTTAAACCAGCACAGAGCTAAAATGTCACACTGAGTTCTAGAAAGCTGATGACTAGTGCTCTGATGATTCATTCTGCTAATGAGGGAGGAGAGGGAAAAGAGAGAAGCAAGAGACTGACTTGGCATAAAATGGATCTCACAAAATGCTCAGAGGCTTCTTGAACAGCCCATATCAACCTCCAAGCTAATCTGACAGCTACTGATTCTGCAGTTGAACCCTGCTCTTTGGGTTCATGGATTTTTTCAGTCTAAGTAACTGACTGATTTTTTAGGTCAGTTCTACTTCTAATGGTTTATTTTAAATAAGATGGATGTGAACAGTGGGTGTCTAACCTGATAGGGTTTATGAGCACCTGAAGTAGCTTCTACCTGAAGTGCTGCAGTGCATCTTCTTCAGCACATGGTGCCTACAGGCTGAATGCAATACTGTATGTGACACTGTGTGACATTGTGAGCCACTCACATGGAGCAGCGCTCATGGGAAGCCTTGGAATCAGCTGAGCTCTTGAGCCTGGATTTGGGGAGCATTGAGAATGATCCACTGTGGAAATGAGATTCACCTACGTGTGTAGGATTCTTCACTCTTAAATTCTCACTGCATGTAGTCCTGTTCACCTGAGCTTTTAATTTTGTAACACACAGTCACACTTGTGTTTTCTTGGTGAGTAGACAGCCCATACCTTAGTGCAGGTCAGAGATTTAAACTGGAGATTAAAGAAAATAGAACAGGGATCTTTAAAAAATATGCCTAACTACTATTTCAGAAGCAAACACTTCTTTCATTTTAATATACAGAATACAAGTCATTTGCCTTGAATCTATATCCTTGTAAAAGTTTAAGAAGACATGAATTAACACAGGAAGTTGAGAAACAAATATATAAATAGACTTTTATAAAATGAATTGACATAAATAATACGCATTCCTGAAATGGGCAGCCAAATTCCTAATATTTTTCACCAAGCTAGCATGCTATTAATCTGTCTGAACTCGGTAAATATGCAGCTATGCATTTACTGTTCTTCAGACATCTCAKAGTCTGACTTTTGAGAAACAGAAAAAATGAGTATTAGAAAAACCCAGATATCTAAATAGTTATTTCTCTCTTGATGCCTGTTTCTGTTTTTCATTGCGTTTACTGCAACTGTGCTGAAATTTACAGATTCAAAATCACTTTTCTTGTGGTTCCATTGGGTGCAGTTGTATATTTGAATTTATCCATCATAAAATTATTCTCTCTAGGACTGATGAGCACTATAGTCTCCTTTAACTTTGGGTAAATTCCAAGAAGAATGCTCTCTTCTTAGTACCTGGTAGTGAGCACATGCATTTTCAGGTACTTGTCCTCGTGACGTGGTCAGTTATTAGGAGACAGTACAGTGAAGGTGTTTTATAACTTTTTTTTTTTCCTCTCAGCCATCTAAGTTCCATTTGATTAAGTTCCATAGGGCAGCAAAGCACTTGTATATGTATTGTAAACATAAGCCATTAATTTCTGACCTTGCTGTTGGGAGCAATGGGAACAGTGAATGGTAATGAAAAGAACAATTATAGACCAGCTGTTAAACTTAGATTCCATTGTTTTTACAACAGTTTGCATGTGACTTGGTTTCTACTCTGATGGAGGAAGAAGGCTTTTTACACAAAAATACTGTGGGTGGTTTCTTCTACTCAGATGGTTTTTTTTTTCTGTTTAAATAGTTAAAAAAATGTCACATGCAGCCATCTAATTTAAACATAATATTTTAATAAGTGTATAATATTTTAATAAATATGTATTTCAGTGCTTAAATGATGTTTTGCAATTCATTAGATTTTGAAAAGTGCTGTGTTGGTGTAATTCTCTCCCATTGAGGTCAGAGGCATCATTTCTTAAGCAAAAGTATTAGTAGACTTATTTTGAAAATCCCTTCACTACCTAATGTAAATGGCATGCATCAAATGCTAATCTCCTGGTTGCTTTATTTATAGATTAGAAATTAGAACAGAAGAGGATTCTCTAAAATGGTCCTTAAATGCAAACTTTAAAAATAAAATAAAATAAAAAATACAACACAAAGCATTTTAAAGGAATCACAACCCTTTTTCTTTGAATGAAGCTGTATTTTGCTCTTTTTTTCTAATCTTATTCAGTCTAAACATTGACGGGTCTGTAGTAATATCTCATATTACATACAGATTTGAACCAATGAGTGTGTGCATATATACCTTCCCTCAAATTTTGAATGATGAAAAATACTGGGGTGCTTTCTATTAGCAATTCTTTTGGCTTTTGAGACAATTTTTTGGTGCTGAGTACCAACTCTGTAGCAATCTGGATGAAGAGAAAGCGTCCAGCGTCGAGATTTAAGCACTGGGGTTGATGGAATGAGCTCTTTGGGAGGATTTGAGTTATCTGAGCTCCTTTCCATTTTTTAAGTAAAGGACTCACAGGTGAGACCTGGATCCAAGCTTTCAGTGTTTCCAGCTTCCCACTTTAGAGAARCCTTATAATAGGTTAGCCAAGAGGATTAGTGCACCAACCTGTGCTTGTGAGCTGTTCTCATCTTTGCTCTTGCCAGGTTAATAGCTATCTTTTTGCAAGACAGTTCCAGATCTTCTACTGGCAGCATTTTTGTCTGTTGATTTTTTCTTCACCCAACATGGTACAGCTCCATTAAGGCAGGCAGTYGGCTTCTGCAGCTTCCCATGGTGCCAGGCAAGCCCTGAGTACTCCTGAGCAGGGAGAGTTTTTTGTTCATGTAAGTTTTTAGGTAAATGTGTACCCTAATGTCTCTAAGAGCCTGTGCAGGATTCATCACCTGTTCTGAACATGTTCTGAGCWCAGCTGGGTTGCAGGATGCTGCTCAGCCCTGGTTCATTTTSTCCRTCTTCCCTTGGRAGATGCCCATTGTYCCTGCCTGYCCTGAGKCAGGAGGAGCTGGGATCCMGGGAAAGCAGCCTGGGCTGTCCTGAGTGATCTCTGAAACAACAGCAGCTGGATGAGGAGGCCACTGCTGCATTTACAGTGCACATAAAGGCTGGTGCAAACACCTGGAACACATCTGGCAGTCTTGGGCATCACTGACAAAGTCCCAGAGTGGTCAGAATCTCTCTCATTTTGTCTTTAAACCCCTTATAACTCAGTAATTTTTGGACTAAATCCATTGAACATGAGAGTTGTAAAATGATGTGACAGTGGAATTGGGCTCGAATGTGCAGTATCTGGAATTAATTGAATTTACTGACTTCAGTGACATTTTATAATGTATCCTTGTAATTACTATGTATACAACACATTGTGAATTTTGAAGAGCTAGAAACTTGAGTCTCAAATGCCACAATATATATATAAAGAAAATGCTTGAGTGTTATTGTTTGTTCCTGAAATATGTAAYCTCTGTGACTAATGCTTTTGTTACATTTTTAGGCTTTGTTGCCAGTAAGAAAAATGCTTAATTTTTAAAACACTATTGCTTTTACTACTTTAATACAGGTGTACCACTGAGGTGCAGCCTATATGTAATTATGTTTGATAGCATAAATATGTGTTGATCCAACCTAATACTATGCATAAGAGGAAATTACACAAATACTGCATTTCATGTCAAAGGCCTTTCTTTTTGGTACARTAAGTATTTTTCCACTGTTACCAAAAGGTGTAGATGTTATTAGCTTCCAACAATGCCAGTATTTTCCAATATCTTATGTCTAACAAAGGAAGAGAAAAGKCTTCTGGATGTGAATCTGAATTTGTGTTTCAGCTGTTGCAAATGCTCTTAACAATATGATCTTTCTTTATGCTGTGCTGTGAAGCTTAGTTCTGGCAAAATTTGAATCTCAGCTCTCTRCATAATCATTGCATTGGAGGTTGAAGGTGAAGTAATGATAATATGGTACTTGAAATAAAGTGGTTTTGCTAACAGACCAGTGAATATTGTCTATTTATACAGAAATAGTGTTTAAACCTCTGCAGAGTTTACTCCATAGCTTGATGAAATAGTTTCTTGCTTGGGAAGGCAATGTGCCTRCCTAATCTTTGGGTGAGTGAGATTTCACTTTCTCTAGTTTAGAGYAGTGCTTTTGACATTGTGTCTGTGACCCAGGAACATGGTGTTAAATGGTATTAAAACCTAGATCCAATAAATTGGAAAATAGGATGGCATAAGAAACAAGTGAGTCAATTGCCTTGTACTGTAAGAAATACTGAAAATTTCTTGTAATCTAACCATGACTTGTCATGACCTTGCTCTGACACCATGACTCAATGACACAATCTTATCCCCAGGAGAAGTGGATTATTATCTTCCTGTGGTCCAAAAGACTGGAGAAGAAAAAAGGTTATTTGTGGTTGTTTATTTCATTCTCTTTCTGACATTGCTCTGCCTCCTGATTCTTCCTAGTGCCTGGAGCCCTGCAAAGAGTCCTGGGACCTGAAGAAAAACCATTGCCAAAGCTTCTGTGAGGTAGGTCAGCCCGAGGGCACACTTTCTCACTTTGTTCTAGCAGTCTCTTTAATTTAAATTATTGGCTTCAAGGAGACAGCTGAAAAACATGGTATTTTTACAGCATTTACCTTCATTTGAAAGGATGCACATATAACASTGTAGCCATATTAATTTTTAGTTAAAAAGAGGGGTTTTTTCCTAACCAAATGATTAATCTCATCTTGTACTTTAAAGACTCGATCCAGTCACACTTACATAGCCTCTCTCAGAAGATGCTGTTACATCCCTCCTGTAAGATGCTATTTCTACCACTTGCCCTTCTRTCTTTTCTGACCATCTGATAATCTTTGTTTAAAAGAGAAAACGTCATTGTGTGAAAAATCCTTGTGCAGGATAGCTAGAACAGATGACTTCTGTATGTGAGAGTCAGTCTGGTTTCTAAAAGAGTGGTTCTCCAGGAGTGACTGGATTGAAGTTCAGAAAACTAATATCAAAGTATGTAATTATTCAGGAACAAATATTTTGAGAACTGTTTTTGAGCCATCTATCAAAATAATCTGTGAAGAAGCAAACCTGAATCAGTCAAATTAGTTGAGGATATTTTTTATTGGATTTGAAATATGGCTCTGAGTTGGTGGAAGTGATCTGTTGTAGTTCTTAAGTGTTTTTTAKTTCAAAAGGGAAATATCATCTCAACAGAAAGTTGCTTTATTATAAATAAATCAATATAAAGGTAAAAATGTATTCAAGTCTATGAAAGTGAATTATTTTAAAGATTTTAATCTTTTCCTGTTAAAAAAAAAAAAGTAGAAGTGACCATAATTGATATACTGATACTTGATTTAGCTCCTCTCTACTGTGGACACGCTTTTTCTGGTATAAGGGAGTTTTCCATGTTTAAATGATTTTAAGCACCATGAAGATGATTAGGAAAAGCTGTAATTTCAACTAAAAACAATTTTAGATGCAACAATGTTTTAATAGGAATTACTGAATTACTGATCTATGTAGTTACAGCAGAAAACAAAGTAAAAGTTTCTGATGAAAACCAAGCCTTGTAAGAGTTTTTTAACCCAGATTATTTGCTACTTTCTCATATAAAAAATTCCAGAGTTCTGTAATAAAGCAGTTTTAGTGGATCTGATTTATGTTGTTCTTGTATATTGGTCTTCACTCAGACTGTATGTTTGCAGATRTGGGTGAAAATATGTATAAAATTGGTTTAAAAGGAAAACATTTGTAGAACACTGTTCTATTGTAGTTAAAAACAGTGAGCATCCTTCTTTGATTAGTGTTTTGTGGTTAAAGCTAAATTTAGAACTTCAAAGGCCCATAATGAGGAGCAGCACATTTAGCAGCTAACTGAAAAATGAGCTGTGAAATAGGGTGAGGAGGAGAAGCCTTGAGGACGWATTATGCCTCAGGGAGCTATAACATTTTTAATTAAGTAGCTGCAAATTTGTGATGTTTTAGGATTTGAAATTAGCTTCAAACACAAAAGCTCGGGCGATTTCCTTTCTGTCAGCCTCATATAGACTCCACAGACATTGATTGAGTTAAACGAGGCTGTTTTCCTGTGAGAGTGTTTTCAATCTTTTCGCATTTTGTAAAAAATCTGTAAGCAACAATTTGGCTTTGTGTTTCTCAAAGTCCTGCTTAATATGTTACTTTTTATCTGCCAAATGACTACTGAATGTTAAAGGAAACTTTATGTGTGAAGAAGAGGACAGTTTATCTGATTCCTTTTTTTCCCTATAAATTCAATTTCCTGTGGGTTTAGCTTTTTAGCTGGCTAACTATGGCATAAGGTGCATTCTAATCACCAGGTGCATTGGAACACCTGGGCCTGCATAATAGCAAAATCTTCCTCATTTTGCCAGAAATATGAGAACAGTAAAAGCAGGAAAGTAAAACATTTGAATGTGGAAGTAGCTTCATGACTGGTTGGATGGAGAATGGGTTATAACTCCTGTGTGGGCTTAGGGAACCTGTAACTCAGATCTGTCAGGGTGGAAGGTTTTTGGGTGTTCTAGAATAGGAAGGACAGCTACAGACAACACCAGTTATGTGCTCATCTACAATTGCRCCCATCACTCTGAGGGAATCACTTYGGCTGGYTCTGCAGCAAACTGAACAAAGAGGAGRTGCAGTTTCCACACAATATTCTCCCAGGGTTCTAGATGCTATCTTAAATACAGTTTTAAGTGGACCTTGCAAACCTCTGTATAGTACACATGCTATAAAATGTCTGTGCATTGAAGCATCTTCTTAAATATCTAAGACTAGTTTTTTTTCAAGAAAGTAGCATTTACTTTCATCTTTAATCAATATATTTAAAACTTACTCTAATTTGTATTTTTTTTCTGACTGTTTTATCATAAATTTTTTTCCAGTTCCATGAAGAATCATACAATTACTAAACTCTGGCAAGAACACAAAGATACTGCAAAATCTTCTCCTAGCCAACATAGTTGAAACAGTATAAAGAAACAAGATTTCCCTTATTTATCTAGAGTGGCATTACATCAGATACTGTGGGGAAAGTGTTGTAAAGTACAGAGGAAAGAATGTGGGGTAGTCCAAAAAAAGCAGACTGTCTGACCATTGCTTCCCCTTTTATTTTGGGAMTGTTTTTAATCTGTCATTGAGCAACTTTATGGCCAGTCAATGTGAGGAAAACWAGAGAAAGCTGGCAGATGTAAACAACATTGTTCTGTTAAATATGGTGGTCTTGTTTGAGGGAAGTTATCATTGTGTACTTGGAATGCATTTTTAGAAGTGGCTTAAATATATAAATCTTCAGGGATAGTCTTGCAAAAGCTGAAAATGTGAATAATCTTTCAGGAGGTTTGGAAAATTTATTTCATTTTTTCTTTGGTGAGGTTGGGGTGGGTTTTTTGTTTTGTTTGTTTTGTTGTTGTTCTTTTTTTGTTTGTTTGTTTTTTAGTTTTTTGGGGCTTTTTTTTTTTGTTGTTGTTGTTCCTATTGAAAACATACACTTCTTCTGTTTTCCTTGTAGCCTCTTTTCCCCAAGAAGAATTATGAATGCCTAACTAGCTGCGAATTCCTTAAGTACATCCTGTCAGTGAAGCAAGGGGACTGCCCAGCCCCAGAGAAGGCCAGTGGTTTTGCAGCTGCCTGTGTTGAAAGYTGTGAAGCTGACACTGAATGCTTTGGAGTGAAGAAATGCTGCTCCAATGGATGCGGTCATACGTGCCAAGTTCCAAAAAATCTGTACAAAGGTAGAGATTATTAATGTGTACTCATACTGAGCTAATAACTTCAGGCCATAATGAAGTCTCCTAGCAAAGCAGGACTTCCATTTGCTGAGAGTTTGTATGGATGGGAGGAAAAAGGAGAAGTGCCTGTAGAGATGTGGCTGCACACTGAAAGAGTTGCTTAAATTTCTGGTTTTTTTTCCCCTTGTGAAGCCCATGTCTGGAAATCTGTGGAGTGTAAATGTGTGGCTATTATGACATATCTTAAGCAGAACAAACTTTGTCATTTTAGGTGAAATCTCACTCAATTTGATGGAGATGAGAGACGATGCAGCAGGAAAATATTTAACAAGAAACAGTTCAGGTCCTATTACTCAGAAATAACATTTATGTTTATAAGCCAAGCAGATGGGATTACCAAGTAGGAGCTGTGAAATAATCTGGTAAAAGAACAACACAGAATAACAATCTTTCTTCTAGAGAAAGATTATAATAATATACATAAATACACACACATATATATATGTATGGAATTTAAATCTAAGAAAACCTTATGCAAAAAATTTTAATTGATTTGTGTCTTGACATTCTGTGAAAAAAACCTTTTCTTTGACATCCTTCAAAAAGAACATATAAGATAAGAAATTATTTGCTTAGACAAATTCCAGATTTTATTGGAATTAAAAAAAAACATTTATACATGGAAATATTTGAAAAATGTTCTCCTAATGCAGAAAACTAAGCATTTGTGAAAAGCATATTCTTTCATGCAGTTGGTGTTTTTGTAAGAAATCAATTCTTCTTAAATCAGTGATAAAAATAAATTTTATTCAGTTATTCTTATTAATCAAATAGCTTGGGTTCTCTGTGGGAGCCTTATCAGCAGAATTATGGTCTAAGCTCCAGGCTTAGGTCAGATTCCATGCTTATTTCCATCTGTGCATGGAAACATGATAAAATATGTAAAGAAAGTGGTGAATTTATTTTTAAGATCATTATTTTAACTGAAATGTTAATAAGTCTTTTTCAGTGTGTGCAGAAGTGAAACTCTTGTTTGCATGGTACTTCAGAGCAGCCCCTTTGAAACCAGAASTAATTAGTATACACTAGTACATAGCACCTTTCAAAATGAAAATTATTAAAATGGGTCATGTATTTATTTCTTTAGACTTATTAAGATAAATGACCRGAGTGGTAAGCAGGCGTTCATGTTGTAGATGTAATGATTTACATGATCAGCTCCATCCCAAAATTACAAAGCATCCCAGTGAAAGTAGCAACTGGAAAAGGTGAAAACAARCAAATAAAACAAGATTAGAAGCTGCTGGAGCTGACACAGCATATGACAGGATATGATACATTCTGTAAGCACACAGTGGAAGGTTTGCTCTTTAGGTCTGATTATATGGGAACAGAACTAACCTTCCCCAACATCTTATCACTGATCTGCAGGAGGTGCTGCCTTGTAAGAGCATATATGTCTTGCAGGGGAAGAGCAAGCTCAATACCCTCCTGCCTTCTCAGCTGATGAATTCAGCTAATTAGCCTCTTCAACCTGTCTTTCTGCAACAAAAGACAAATAGAGGTGGAGCAGGCTTGCTATTCATTTCCTCCAGGGGTAAATGACCTTCCTGTCACTAAGGAAGAGCAAACTCTGCAAGCATGACTGAGATCTAGTGAATAAGTTCAGTACTTATCGTTTTGACAGCACTCACAGCTTGAAAATGAACTCAGATTGGATCTAAGAGTCTACAGAAGTTTCTATAGTTTTACTGTTGATCAAACTCTGCAGATAGTTACARCAGCAGATATGAAATTCCCATCTGATTTGCTGAATTATGAAACTGAATTTGCCCTCTAGTATTGACAGCTAAAGCCCARTTCTAAAAGAATTTTCATGTAAGTACACTGCCACCAAAGAAACATATTACAGGTGTTTTTGGATTAATGTAACAAGTATTTTTTCATCTCTGTTGGGATATTACTAATTGGTTATGTAGTCTTCACATATTTATGTTTCTTTAGTGGAGAAATCAAATGGTCTCTCCTCTTCTGCCATTGACCTCATCCCCTATCTTTACACTGTCTCAGCTAGTGAAGGACTTCAGAAACTGTCTGCAGATCTGTGTAAAAAAAAGGTAAATTGTGAAGAGAAGATTAGGACATTCAAAGGATCTGATGATGTGGCAAGATTATAATGGGATAACGAGTCAGATGGTCACCYACAGTTTAATGACTCTTTTCATGCTTAAAGAAAAATAGTTCTATATTAAAAGCATAGTGTACAGTTTTAAAAGTGCCCATCTCTGAGTTCTTGCAAAGCTGTGTTTACAATTGTATGGATGCCATGGAGGTACCCTTTACAAAACCCTCTAGGGAAAGATTTGAATTCTGGGGGAACAAATGTTTAAGGTACAGATTTTCATGACAGAACAATGTGCACTTTGCATGGCACAGACATGCACGTGCTGTTTGAAAGACACCTTTAGAAACATTTTTTCCTGGATTCTGCTATTGCACACACAATGGTCAGTAATYTGAATTCTTTGGTTACGCACTGCAGACATCAGAGGACTAATTTGTTCCAGCACAAAAGAAGGGGCTGACCATTTACATAATAAAAGGCACATTGAAGAGTAATTGGATCTTCACATCTGGATATTAAATTGATGGTGCTGGTCCTACAAAAGTATTTTAAAATGCACTTGTGCTGTGCTCTCATTGTTTGCGCTCCATCTGCACAGGATTACGTAACACCGGAGAGGCTGAGATACTTGCAATCAAGTGAATCCAACTGCCCCTAATGCAAAGCAGATGGAAGTTTTCTTAACAAGCAAATTGTAGGATTGTTGTGTATCATAACTAAAGAAGGATTTGTGAATGTGGAAATCCGAAGTCATGTTCGTTATGTTAGACTGAGACTTMAGGATGTTGAGTGATATCCAGGGTCTAAACTGCCGTGATAACCACATTTTTTGTGCTGTGTTTTTTTCAGGTGTATTTTAGGTTTCTTGAAGATCTACGAGATCGTTTTTATTTACTTGTAGCTACTTGTATACTCAGAATTATAGGATGATGTCTTAAAATGTAAAAGTGGTTTGTTCATCTGAAGAAAATTTGGTGGCAGACTGAGTAGCAAACATTTTATCCAACCACTACATACAGCTGGCCTTATGTGGACAGCCACTGAAACAACAAAATAACTAAACTGCATATGGTAACTCGCTAAGAAGGTTTATATGTCAGCATAGAAATCTCATTTGTGACATATCCTCAAGTGACAAAATGCTGCACACTCAAATATAAGTGTTCCTAATGTCTGTCTGGAGAAATGTGTCTAACGCTTGATTTGTTGATTTAATCAAAAGATGCCAAATTTGAAGAGATCTTTTTGCTTCAAGCTACTTTARATGTTTTTGAAAAGGTATTATTACTGGCAGTATAAACAACAGGAATAACCTTTGGTGTCACTATGTAATGAGAAAACACAGTAATGTTTTAAAAAGTCATATTTTTCTCTGAAATGCAACAATTGACAAAATGTATTAGATATAACATATCTATTCCAAGATGTCTGGGAATTACCTTTCCCAGCTCTTTAGGGAAGAGTGGAAAAGTGAGACATCATGCAGCACAGCTGCAGCAATGTGAGTCAATAAGATCATGCAGCCATGGAGAAGCAAACAGCTTTCTTGAGTGTATCAGACTAATGTAAGATGTATGAAATAATCACGCTTCACTGGGCTACACTGCTAAAAGCTTAGACACAGTCTGCATCCAGTTTTAGGCTTGACTCTGGAGAAGGGCTTTTGGGCAACTGGAGAGTCTCCAGGGACAATTGCAAGATTGAACAGAGGTCTGGGAACACCAATTTAAAAGGGAAATGGAGTGCACTGTCGTTATTAGACTGAAGAAGAAACATTCAGAAGCATGATAACAGTCTTGTGGTACATGAAAAGCTTCTCCATAGATAAAAGAAAAAATCTGCTCCCCATGATCCATGAACATCTTGGACCATTATTGAGTTTATCATGCAGCTGAGAAGACTAAACAAGGTAGTGAGAAAACTTTCTTGTAGTAAGGATACAATAGTGGACTAGACTACTATGTGATACTGTGGAAATTTTGTTATTACATGTGTTTAAAGATAAATTAGTTGAAAAACTGAACAACAGGTACAGCTGATTGTGCTTGGGATCAAAGGGATCTTTCTCCTGGTTATCAAGTCTCATTTGGGATGTGTTTTCTGTAAAATCAATTTTAGATTACGACTTAGAGATCCTTTAATTTTTTAATGAAATAAAGAAATAATTTGGAAGATTTTTTGAAACAAGTTTTAATCTTAGCAGAGGTGGGTTAGTTATGAACACTTCTGAAACTTCCATGCTTATCATTCCTCCCTTTTGACCTTCGCTCTGACAGTCTTTTTTTTTTTTTTTTAATTATTTTTTTTTAATATGGCTCCATCTACAAATAGCTTAATCATATCTTGTCAATTGCTCATATATTTTTGTCTGTATGTTCCTACTACAGGTGTTCCACTGAAACCCCGAAAGGAATTAAAATTCATAGAGCATCAATCTGGAGACCTGGAGGTGAAGTGGTCTTCAAAATTCAATATTTCCATTGAGCCTGTGATCTACGTTGTTCAGAGGAGGTGGAATCAAGGAATCCATCCAAGTGAGGATGACGCTACAAACTGGCAGACTGTGGCACAGGTCAGTTCTTTGTAAGCAGTAGGGATCCCTTGTTTCCAGACCATGATCTAAAGCTCCTCTTCAAACTGGAGAAAGGTTAGATCACTCACAGGTGGGGAGGCTTGTGTTCAAAATACCCATAGGTTTATGTTTTCAAAATAAGTTTATTTTGTGGGTTTACTCTCTATAGATCAAAACCTATCGAACTAGCTGGAGGCTTGATTTTTACAAGGCTAGTGGGTGGCATTTTCTTGTAAGCACATATTGATCTATTCAGATGGGTATTCCAAGGTCTTAGAAAGTCACAAATCTCTTGAAAAAATGTAGAATTAGAGACCAAAATCGATTGAAGGAAATGTATAAGAGGCACAGTCCTTTTGAGGACAATGGAACTCATTGCACAGTGTACAAGGCATGGCTTGGGTCTTGTCAGAAGTCAAGAAATCCAACTGGTGAAAAGGCTATTTATCTTAAAAAAATAAAAATCCAGTGAGTGAAAAAAAAAAAAAAAAAAAAATTAAAACCTTTTCTTTGTAAAGTTGTTTTGTTTGGGTGTGACCCTCCCAGTTCAGGGAAGTCTGTGATGTCATGCTCTTATCACTCTGTGCAATCCAGACTGAAAATGTAAGATTCATGAGCAAATGTTTCTTAATGAGAAGCAGCCAACAGAGCATAAATTTTCACTTAGTTCCTTCCCAGTTTCAATCTGTTTTTTACCATGCTGACAGTCCACCTGGATGGCACAGTTCCAGTCGTTTATCTTACTGCTTCACCCTCATCCCTGCTGACAAGAAAAGTAAAATGCTGATTTTGAAAAGATCTGCAAAATGTCATTATGACTCAGGGAAAAAAAGAGAAAGAAAGAATAAGTAGAACCAYCTGTAAAATAAAGTAGGGAATTTAAATTCTGTGACAATTTGTGTTTTCTCAATTCAGGTGGTRTAGGAAAATGCTGTCTTACAATAACATCAAGCTTATGAGATTGAACACTAAGCAGTTAATTTCTTTGCTTCAGCGTGGTGCCAGGGCGGGCTGTCACTGTGCTGGAGTCTTGCTCAGAAAAAGCCCCCTGCAGCAGACCCTGGCATGAAACCTCGTTTGTGCAAACCCAAGGCAGCACCTCCGAAACTGATCAAGTCCCTGTGATTTATTATCTCTCAGCTGAGGTTCTGGTCTTGAACCTGTATTCTCCATATCTGGGAAATACCACATAGCAAAACATGCCAGATCTGAACCATTCCTCACRATTACCATCCCATGTCTCTGTGCTGGACTGTAGAACTCAGCTCTTGTGCTGGTGAACCAGGCTGCTGCTGTTTCCTATCCCAGGAACAGACCTCGTGCCCGTTTCTGGAATCAGGAGCTGGATATGCTCTGCAGTGTAGGAACCTGTGCCTTGCAGTGGATCCACAGGAGAGAGGTTTCAGAAATGTTCCTGTGCAGGAGCAGTAAGAGCCCTGACAGCTGCCTGTCCTGGGGGTCTGGTGGGTTGGGCAGAAGGGGCTGAGTTAATCACTGTGGCAGGAGAAGCCTCCTCCAAATGACATCTCTCTGACAACTCCGCTGTCCCTTCTGCAGCACAAGAGACACGAATTTGATGGTGTGATGGACCCCACTGGGGATGTCAGTTCAAAGCACACTTCAGGATGCCTGACTGGCTTTGTGAACTGGGTGTGCCTTATGGGACATGCAGGCTRGGCATCCTTGAGGGGTGCTAATAATCAGAATTTCTGTCTCTATGAAGTAGTGTACCTCCATGGTGTTTGTAGTTTAGACATCCCACCAGGCAATCAGATTTGTTTGGCTGAATGCAATAGAATTTATTTTGCAATATCAGCAAYAGGGATGGATATCCAGTTTGACTAAAGTGCTTGCGTGCACAGCCTCCAGGCTTTTCTTGTCTGTATAAGTGGTATTTTTTTCTTGTATGATTTCAAAACATTGGGGTATAAGACCTTAATTATAGGCAAAAGCCAAGAAGAGCTCAGCCATTCATCTGAGAGCTTCTACTGTCTCAGTCCAGGGGAGATGATTCTGACTCTTCCATTACTCTGCAACTTAAGCTAGAGACTGTGTAAAAAGCAAAGATTGAGAAGGCTGAGGGGGAGGATCTGTGTTTGTCTATGCTTTATGTAGCATAATTCGGCAAAGTTATCATTTGCATTTTCCTATAAGAAATTTCAGAATATTTTATCAGAGTTTCTCATCTAGTATTTTTTGTTTTCTGTCCAAGAACAATTCGGATTATAATTTTCAGTAACTTTAAGGTGTTTAAATTTCAAAAAAACTTGCTGTTTTCTGTTGCCTTTACAGGATCTAATTTGCAAGTAATTTCTCATGTTTCACAAAGATTTTTACTTTGAATTGAAACAATAATTTTGAAAAAGTTTGTTTCCTTTATATTGTATTGTGCCATGTTTATTGTGTCATTTTTTTGTTTTCTTTTTAAGGAAGAAGGCTCAATCTATTAATACACTATTTTGTTCTCCAATTATGTAAGGAAAGCAAACATGTTGAAGACAGTTTTAATTATTTTTCAGTTTAGGAGGAAAGGATTTTTTTTCCTTTAGTTTTTTACTGCACATTTTGGGGAAAACTTGATATAATTAACCATTTGACTTATTTCCATTGGTTAACATAAAAATTATGGTAATTAAGATGTTAGTTAGTCTAGCTGGCTATGATTTACAGTGTCCTAAGTGTTAATGTGAAGTTTCCTACACTACTGTAACTTAAGATCTAGCCAGCTGAGCAGGAACTGCTGTATTATCCTATGGGAATACTGTATGTCTTGTGAACAAACTTACTTTTCTGTTTGGCATTAATTCTTTCTGAAAATAGTAGTATTACTGTTTACATTGGAAATTCAGATATTTACTCATATTAATATAATATAATAAARTTAATTAAAATATGGCAGATCAGTTATTTCCAGATAGAACACGTGTGTTGTGTGAATGAATGTCATGTATACATGCACACACACATATATATATGGGCAACAGTAAGGAAGTACATTTATTAGACCATTACAAAAACAAATATGGAACAGTATTTATTCATAGCTTTTTTGTGACACACCTTAGTGCTTCACCTTGTTATTGCCTAAACCCTATGGACAGCTAATCCTTTTCAAAACTTAGAGCTTCGGAGAAATCAGAAGTTCTGGTTCTGACAGGGAAGTGTTCAGCCTGTCACAGTGGGAAACACCTGCTGGAGCTAGCCACCAGTCCTGTGTGCTAAAGGTTTCTCTCTCCATATCCCAGGAGGGGATTGCTTTGGTCAGCAGCCTTAGAGAGTGCCCACCTTGTATGGGATTGCATTCACATGAAGTAGGGCAGGTCTGCTGTCCTTTGGTGGAGTGGTGGATACAGCACTGTCAGATTTCTTTACTATCAGAGGAAACATAAACTCAGCTTTTCTGATACCCTGGATGGTATCCCTTCACTCTGAAATGCAAATTCTTTTGTCACTGTGTGTTATTTCCAAAGGTGTAGAGCTGTGAACTCAGCAGGGTAGGGCACTACTCTCCTGTTTTCTACTAAACCTTTCACTACAGAAAGGAGTCCAGGGTTCATAGTGGGGAAAAAATGAGAATGAGCACTGTGAAACAGTCCATTGATTACTGTAATCCTTGGATAGAGGAGAGTCCTCTGTACAAGTCTTCACTGTGAAGACTTTCTTGGACCAATTTTTTACATATATAAACCCCTTTGGAATGTTGACACAAGAACCCAACCTGGATGGTCAAACTGCTGTGCTGCTGGATCACATATTCTCTTTCTTTTCCYTCCCAGTCCTAGTTAATCCCACTTTTTCCTTAGGAGAATTTTTAACTTTCAGCCTTTCTTTCTCCAAGGAACAGTTTAGCGTGTAAATGTAGAACATATTCTAGGTCTAAATACCATGCAACATCCAARATGTTCATATTCATCCATGATGAATATCTTCCCCCTGCCTCTCGTACAAAGGATGGAATTGAAGACAGGTCATTCATGCTCTGGGAAAGCCCTTTCATCATTAGTCAGTTGTAGGAGCAGCAGAGAAGATTTCTGTAGGGATGTTGAAGAGAATAACAGATAATTCCCTTTTGAAGGACAGGAGGAGGGTTRTGTACAGGAAAGGGCTCAGGATTTGAACAGTCAAGAGCTGCTGGGAGAGGAGTGGAATTGTCAGTGYTTCCTAAACAGAGCAGCTCTGGGCAAGTCTCAGCCAAATTCTCATCTAAAAACCCAACCTCTGTCTTCTTTCTGGCCACTGGAGGTGGCCTGTTGTCCTTTGGACTTAAGTGAACACTTGAGAAAGAATGTCAAACTATTGTCCAAGTTATGTTATAAAGATTAGATGCTGCTCTAACATGAMGTTGTATCCTGATGATGTAATTAATAAGGGTTTTGCCTTCTCTTCATTGAACTTTGCATGGTACTAAGGTGGACATATTGGCCAATTATTTTGTCTGAGGACTCATTAATTATTTTATTTCAAATTAAATGCCTATTAGGATTTGAAGTTATCTTCCAAATGTTCATCTTTTAAGTAAAAAGGTAGTGCATAGCCAAAATAAACAGTAARTTATGATCCTATAGTGATTTGAGTGGTGATCTTTTCTTTTTGTCTGTTATTTGATTCTTAAAAAAATATGTTAGCCTTCTAAAAATTCAATAAATTGTTAGGTTTTTTCTTTCATATTCAGATTCAAGTGTGTAGTGAAAGTCAGTTCAAGTGTGTATTTGAAATTCATTCGAAATAATTAATTCAGATATTTAGTACTGCTCAGCATAGCTTTTAGTGGGTTTACATTAATGTGAAAGATATTGAAAGGACTGAATATTACAATTGCAGTTCCAAATATACTTCAGTACTGAGAACTAACTAAACTAAAGCAATTAAACAAAAAGAAATTAGACTTAGCATTAAGGCAGTATAAGGTATCTCAGTAGTACTTAGTCCTTTCTTGAAATTTTTTTAATTCTATGTAGAGGATACGTAGAGGTGCCCAAGTAGTTTATAACATGGGAGTTTGGAGGTGGCCCTCCTGCATCCCATCGAGCTTAGCAGGAGCTTGGCCAACACAATGAATAATGAAAGTAATTGGCCCAAAGCATGTTCATAAATTAAAGTAATTTTGGCATTATGGATTGACATTTTATTTGATTTTACAATATTTCATGGTTGCCASAGGAAACTGCCACAACTGAAATACTTTCTTTTAATCCACAGAATAGCTGAGTTGATGCCAATGACAAATAAGATTCCTTAGCTGAGGAATTTGGGATCAAGTCTATTCAGTTATGCTTGCCTTGTAACAAAGTTTGGCAAATGTGTTTTAAAAAGTCCACAWGACTGTAACTAGTTATTTATTATTAGACATTGGTCCTGGCCGTGATTTCAGTTTCAGCAGTAGCCTGAATGTATCCTTGGGTTTTTTTCTGTAATAGTGATAGTTTATATTCARTTCACTGTTGTGTCTCATTTGTAAGTTCTTGAGTATGTGGACCTCGCGGCTGGAAACAAAATAAGACATTTGAGTGCTCCATAAAATGAAGGTAATAGCAAAATTTGCTTCAGGTAGGCWCTTACTTCCCTGGGGGAAACCTTGGATGGATAATTCACTCTACAGGTAACATAAAAGCTAAAAAAGAAAAGGAGATGAGGCAAACAATGTCAGGACTGTTACTCCTGTTTAAGTTGAGAAGATAAATATGGTGGTCTGAATGGAGAAGGACTTTGAGTAGCAGCAATATGTGATGAGCTGCAACAGTCTGAGAGCAGTTAATAATATGGTTTACAAAGGCTCTCTTTTCCCTGGCATGCACACATAAATGAGATATGTTTCTCTACATGAAGAGACTAAGTGCAGKATAACACCTACAAATTTTATTAGTGAGGATTTTAAAAATGCCATTACGGAGAACTGAAGAAAATTCCTGAGTTTCTGGCTATCTGTCTGCTGCTGCCAGTTTCTTATGCAGATTTGAAAGGGAGCAAAAAGCAGAAATTAACTTGTGCCTTTTTTGGCATCATTACAGGTAATGTTGAGTCTTATACAAGGAAGGTGGCTTCTTGAAGTTTTATAAAACAGAGCTTGTAAAAATAAATTGATGTATGTATTTTAATGAACTTGCATGTTTGGTCAGTAATGGTAATCAGTAATGACTGTATAATACATTTAGACATATACGTGACATCTGGTTCAGGTTCRTGCATTATTTTGATTAAAGAATTAAATCAAAATGTAGTAAATATGACATCCTAAAGTAAATTGATAACTKGATAATTGAGAGGTAATTGTAAAAGTAAAATCTCCAAATGGATGTGTTTTTGATGAGTTCTACAAAAATGCTACATCTTCTGTACTTGGAAGTGATYCAGTTTTTACCAGGAGGCTGTATTCAGTTCTGGTGTTTGTACCTTAGGAAAAAAAAAAGGAAAGAATGCAAAAGATAGCTCCTCAAAAGTTTAATGGGGTAAAAACACCAGAGGAAAGCAGGGTTCAGAATAAGAATGTGTAAAGCACTTCCTACTGAAAGGGTTCAAAGTACGTCTATGGTTATGCCATATTTCAGTGGTTCTCCCCACAGAATTTGGAAATTGAACTCATGACACTGGCAATCTCAGTAGGTGTTGTTGGAGAAAAGGTCAGCTCCTATGACCTGAGAAAGGTCTTCAGGGAAGAGTTAAGGCTGTAAGTGTCTTTTTGACATAAGTGCCAAGTGAAGAAGGCTTGCATTCATTACCAGAGAAYTTTGTGTTTCCTATGAACTAGAAGAGTGAGTTCCCACAGCACTGGATTTCATTAAGCTATTTTGGACCCCTAATTCTCTGAGAATTGAGAATTGGAGAAATCAGTCCTGTGACCTGGTGCAGTGTGACCTGGTGCAATGAGTTCCCTGAAACATCAGCACCTGAATAGTTAGGCCCTAAACATYGGTGAAGTTTGTGATAATTGCAAAACTAATTCTGTGAATTTAACACTTCACCARTTTTCTAAAGGCTGCTGTTTGCAGAAGAGCCCTGCAATGCGCTGTAAGATTGGATGGTTCTATCATTTTGCTCACAGCTGTAAATGCTTTGCAGTGCAGGGTGATGGCTGGAATTGGGTGGGGTGGTTGGTACAGCCTGTGCTGCTGCTGTGTGCTCAGCCAGACTGGCTGGTGCTGCACAGCAAGTGACAGAAAACCATGTCAGAGAACCAAGGTGTGTCATTTTCCCCACCAGACTACGGAYGAGCGGGTTCGGCTGGCGGACATCCGAGCGAGCCGCTGGTACCAGTTCCGCGTGGCCGCTGTCAACGTGCACGGGACCAGGGGATTCACTGCCCCCAGCAAGCACTTCCGCTCCTCCAAAGGTCAGTGTTCACCCTCTCTGTGTGCTCACCTTCCTCTCACCCACACCTGGAGTGCAGCCTCATCTGCCCGCTTTTGTGGCACAAGGTTTTTAACAGGTGGCTTTTTGAGTGGTTTTGCTGCTGCCTTCAGAAATGGTGTGAAATTTGTTGGAAGTCAGCAAATGAATTAAAAGTTGRAGTGTCATTGTTCTTTTATCAGTAAGGGTCTCCACAAATAAATCTCCTGTTGAACGTTTTCCACGTGATTGGTATCAAACTACATGACCCTGACCACGAAACATGAGGGAACTGGGGTTTCAGTATGTTAATCTGAGAGGTGGTTTTTTTGTTTGTTTTTTGTTTTTTTTTTTTTGCTTTTAAGTTATGAGAAATGTGTTACTGCCATGTGTTTAGTAGAGTATTGGAATATTTTGTGGCCTGTATCTAAATAATTGTAGCAGCATTGTTACAATGGAACTTTGGACCCTCTTAATATAACTTTCCCCTTGCTAGCACTAATTGGAAGAGCTTAAGAATAAAAAAAGGGCATAAATGCAAAGCAGCATGTTCCTGTTCATTATAAAGGCATGCCTGATGACCCACAAAGTATTGTAGGAATTTTTGTTGAAAGTTCTGATTTTGCAACTGTTTGGGTAATGAAATAACTTTGAAAAATATTTCTGTRCCAGTAATTGGGGAATGCAGGAGATAGAAATGGTTCTCCCATCCTATGAAGTTCTTGGCATTCTTCCTGGTGTGCTTTTGACCCACATGAAGCAAAATTTTCCCAAGTGACTCATAGGCATAGTATAGGAGGTAGCACAGACCAGACGCTATTCCCAACAGACAGATGTGGTCACGGTCTCCTAAAGGCAATGGATAATGTGGGCATAGTCAGACCATGGTGATTGACTTCAGAGCCAAAGAATGAGATTCAATGCTCTTCACTCTACTAATAGAAGTAGTTTCTAATAGAAAGATTTCTTGTTATTTTAGTAGTGTCAGAATCTTTACACTGTTACAACTTTGCRTACTTTGAGAAATGTATTTCTTTCTCTTCACACAGAATTACCTTGCAGTACAGGCAGTTGCCATCTAAGGGTTCCTGTGCTGGCTTTTAGCTTGCTGTTTGGCCGTAGTCAGTCCTAGAAAAAAAAACCTTTTTTGAGATGCATTTATAGAGGCATGCAAGTACGTCTGCTGGTATGGATGGTTTAATCACTTACTGAATAGGTATATGTTAGCCTTAATAATTTTTTTTGTAGTCTAACTGTATTTGTGGTAGGATGKTTGGCTGGCACAGCTGGCCCACTACTCCGGTGACCACAGACCTTTTCATGTATGAAAGAAGTATTATTTTAAGCATTTATTATACTTAAGTAGCATACCATTTCAGTCACATGAAATAATACAGCTCCTTCGAGCTGCCTTGAGCTTACTTAAGGACTCTTCAGCAGCAGTACCTTTTTCTTTTGAACAGCACTTCAGCAGATCAAGAAGTTTGTTGCTGAATCTGGCACCGACTGTTTTTTAAAATTGAGATCATTGACAGTTCTTTTTCTGAGTTTGTAAATATTTTCCATCTATTCTTCTTGAAACCATTACTGCATTTACTTAAAGGTATATCTTGGTAGCACTGAGGTTTGGCTTGAACATGACATTTTCAGGCAGGATTTGTATTACTTTCAAAAAAAATTGTCTCTACTGTGTGCCAGCCATGCTCAAACTACCATCCACAGTAATGAATAAAAGGATATCCATGGTAAGTCATTCTGAAGGTCTCTTTAGCCCAGAATCTGACCCCAGCCAGAGGTGGGTTTCTGGATAACAGTGTAAGAGCAGGAAAAGTGCATGGGGGTATTTTTTCAGAATAGTCTCCCAGCTGGCAGTAATTTGTGTTTCAGGAACTTGTGGTTTTGAAATCATTACGTGAATACCAGAGTCCTCTTGTGGTCTCTGCAGCTACCCCAAAGCACTTGCTCTCCTTGAGAAATGCTCATGGCTGTCTCSGGGAGGTGGAGAGCAATTTCAGGGCTTTGTGACAAGGGCAGTGGGAGTCAGTAGCACCTCTGCATGCTCTCACCTAACAAACCAAAATAAGCAGATTTTGATAATGGCAGAAAGTGTGCAGTCAGCATTCTTCCAAAGGCTTCTGTAGCTCTCAAAATAACTATTTTCAGATCTGAACTCCAGCCCTTGGCAGAGGTCTGTGAATTGACAGACAAGCAGCAGGGAGCTGAGTTAGTTATCAGCTCCATAGCCCCAATCAGCCTGTGCTGGCAGCTCATTTGGCCGTTCCAGGGGCTGTGGAGCTGTCAGTGGTTGTTAYAAAGATGTCGTGTTTGCCAGATGAAATGTGCTGTCACTTGGGTGACGCACACCAGGATGTTTCTGGGTGCTGACTGCTGGGAATGGTGCTGGGGTGCTTCGATTGGGGTCTTTTAGCCTCCGAGGCCCCAGGTAGGCAGTCAGAGTGGTAACAGTGACAGTGTCACACAAACATTTAATTACTACTTTGGAGCTCAGTGGGAAGTGGCAGCCCCTGCCTGGTAGAAAGGCAAGAAACTGCTGCTCAGATGGGTCTAGTTTTTTGAGTGCCAGCTTCTACTGGCCCCTGCTGAGGTCTTACAGGCACATTTAACCTCCASTTTGGAAAAGAAAAGTGGATTTTGGCACATCACCTTTGGAAGTTTGCTGCCTGTCTGTGCTGTGTTTGTGTGAAGCATGGACAGGAATTCACATCAGTGTTTCACTTCACCCTGTTGTGCCAAGACCAAGAGAAGATTATTATCTTTGTCGGACTTAGCAGAAGGTTTCTTCAAAAATAGACCCTTTGATCAGGAAACATGACAGTAATTCCTGAGACAGTTTCTCACGCAAGATACTGAACTTTTACCAATTGCTCATAAATTRTAATGAATAGCAAATTACTTGGGTTTGTTTTTTTCTTTAAAGGAAGACAAATATGATATTTAATCTGAATCTAGGGAGAAGTATGGCACCACAAAGTCTCTGTCACTAAATATTTTAAGCTGTTAAGAGGAACATTCAAAAACCTGCTGTAATTACTCTGAGRGAGAATTTTTGTCTAGTTACCACAATACTGTTTTATACTGTTTTGTGTCTTTTGAAAATGCAAAAAACATGATCTCTTAGACATAGAAAAATAAGGTTTTSTTTTATTCAAAATGGTGTTAAGTCTTCTGAGGTAATATCCATTAATTTCTCTATCACTCAATAAAGCTCCTTATTTTCCAAAGTAATTTAATTTCCCAGTCATGAAAAAGACAAAACCAGGAAAATGAGAGTCCTTCATCAGGCATTTCAACTTGCCATTCTTCATCCAGTTCTGTTTTGAGGTCTGATCTACTGCAGCTTTTGATGTTCTTCTACTGTAAATATTTGAGATGAAGGTTTATTAGCTGTTCTACACTGCCTCATGTGTTCATCTATGGCAATAATTTGTAAATAGTAAATAAARTGACACAGCTGAGAGTTTTTAAAATAGTCAAAGCTTAGGCAGAGCTCTTTTGTTTCATGCTGTTTATTTATTTTTTATAAAAGAAATGAAGGGTTTGCATATGCTTCTCTGACATGACCTGTTACAGGGAATAAGGTGGTGCTTTGTTTGCCAAAATGCTATTCCAAAATTATGAGAAAGCCAGGTTGGACTACGTCTGTCTGTGGTGAAGTGTCTGGAAAATTAAGTGAATACTGCACCTAGAAAGTGGATTTTTTTGTATAAGTGGGACTGTACACATGGACTTTTACATTGATACTGTCGCCTAAAATTGGTCAAAATTTTCTGCTATTTTGACAGTGTTTACACTCCTCTTTTCACAGTTTTAAAATTTTGTGTGCTTTCCTTTTTGTCTTTAATTGGGTGGCAACAATTTGCAATAACAGCAATAAATAAAGGTAACTGAATAACTGACATAACGTTTTTGATCCATAATGTTACAAATGTTCTTCCTTCATATTTAGACTGGCTCTCTCCAAGCTGTTTCCTTTCTTCTGGAAGCAGKAGTGAACTGTTCCTACAATCCATAAATTACTCTCCTTRGATGAAARCTACCTGTGTTTTTCTTTCATTAARTGGGCACTGGATAGCCTAACCTAACATGCTTGGCACTAGTGGTAATACAATTTTTATTTTGTTGGTTTTGGTTTAAGGTTTTTAGGCCATTTTTTTCYTATCTTTTTATGATTTGTGATGAGAATGAATTCTCAGTAACAGAGACTTCAGATAACTCTAGGACTCATTATCAGGCATTTCTATATAATTTGTTATCTCACTGGTGTGTGGGTAGGTACTGTGCCATTTCAGAGTAAAAAGGAGGCAACAAGACCAGCACAATGAGCCCAAACCATCTGACCCTGCCACCTCTGCTAAAGGTTTTTATCTTCACCAAGAAGGCAGTTGCCAGCATACACTGGATAGATTGTCCAGCAAAAGGAACAGGCAACATTGTTTTCACAGCACATAAGTACCATGCTGGATGTGATTTCATGCATACATTACTGAGTGTTAGAAAAACCAGAACAGACACCCACTCATGGCAATAAAATTCTTTCTGTTGTTCCTTTGAGACCAATGATTTTTTTATGCTGTTGCACAGCTGGTTTATGTGTGCCATTTCCATCAGGCAGAGCCAGTCCTCCCGCTCATGCCGTGCAACGGTTTAATGGTTGGAAACTTGTCTGAAGAGCAGCTTCAGCAGATTTTTAGAGTTGGGAAGGTCTAATGTTTGAAAGACAGCAATGGGAGATCTATTTTAAGTCAGGAAAAAAGCTCCATTAAGAAGGGTTTAAATTGTTGTCACACTTGCTCTCACTTTTACAGCCCAGAATGAGATTTCTGGTTCTGATGTCTCTGACACCTTTTCCAAATMATTTACTGTTTTCTCTACAGTTGAAAGGCAAAGTAGATGCACTGCAGCAGTGTATGATGTGATTCATAGCTTGATGTGTATATCTTGCCCATACTGCTTTTTAAGGTTGCAAAAGTGTTTCCAAATCTTACTGATTTAAAGARTTTTGGAAAATATAAACTATCACTATGTTTATATATATGAGTGTGGGAAGATGTGCATTTTGAAATGGAGATGATGAGAGGGTTATCTTTTTTTCCTTTATTTGCAGCAAGAAATCCTCCCTTTTGGGGACTGGAGACAGAATTTTGCTTGTGATGGCTGAGTAGCCAGCAAGACAGGAATTTAAGTCCTTTGGGTATACTCAAGCCAAATACAATCCAGACAAATGCAGTACTTACCCCATGTGCTGGAACAGCAGCTTCAGCCTTGACCTAATGAAGCTATCATTTCTAGCAGTGAGAAGCGATTTACTTGTCAGGCTGCTGAGATCAGAATTTTTTTGGAGTTGAGGACAGCTGTCTGTGCCAAATTCTAGGATGTATGGAATGACTTCTATTTTATTTGAGTTGTTGTATAAACTGCAAAGGAAAAGCTGCAACTAGCATCACCCTTTCAACAAAGCAAAGAATTTGATTTAACGGTCAGATAAATTCATTTATATAAAGTTTCAGTACTTTACATTCTCRAAAAACTGGCAGCAGTTTCCATTCCAGCAATTTTATATCCATGTATGTGAATTATACATGTGGGCAGTCAGTCAAAGGGATCACAGGTATATGAAGACTAACAGTAGAATGGCTGTAAGATTTATAGTCAGCAGAACATCACTTTAGCTTTATAGTCAGGTTAACAAACACCTTATGTGTGTAAGCTTTATGATTCAGTACCAGTTATTAGACCTTGAAGTATTTTAGCAGAGTTGTATAGTGCTTTTAGTATCTACATGGACATAAACGTAACAGACCACCTTGTGGAAGCATGACTTTCCCATTCAATAATGCAGAAAAAAAACAGCTGATCTGTTCTCTGGTAACTGGCTGGCATGCATAGTGGCATTCTTGTAAACTCTAAACAGTTTATTTTGTTTTGTGGATTCTTGTTTTTTAAAATGGTCCAGGGGGCGTGAGGTTTTTTGGGATGTTTTCTTTGATGGTGGGGTTTAGTTTTTCTTTGGGTTAACAGGGATCACAATGTCTTACCTTGCTATTCTTTCTCACTTGTCTGCTGTGCAGGTCAAACTAAATCCTTTCAAATGAAGATACAATATTCTTGGGTTCTTAACTTAGAAAATAATGGATATTTTAACTGTAATAGTAATGAGTGTCACAGAAATATATAGAAATAGGTAAATAAATTATAGAGTGGTATTGAAATACTAGTATGAAATAGATCCTAATCTGATATAAAATGCTCACTAGGTGTCTTAATATTTCAGGTCATGCACCCTAAATCCATGAAATGTTTTACTGATGAATCCATGCAGTCAGGCAGGATGTTTTTTTTTTCCGTTGATTAAATGCAAAGCTGTAATAAGTTTGGTTTATCTTTGATATTTTACATCTTTATAGCTTATTCTCTTCTTAAGCTTAGTCTACTTTTAAGAAAGCTCTTACAGAAAATGTGTTACTTTCAATGTCTCACCTTTTAATGTCTGTTAGCTGCAGATCTCCTTTCTGTTTTCTACCACCACCACTGTTCCTTGTTCAAAGGCATTTTTGTGGATGACATTTGAGAGGTTTGCAAGAGTCTTTGAAGAAAGAGGGCACTCAGGAAAATAKCTTGTATTGCTGTATTATTTCACATGTATATTCCTTCTAAGAGGACATTCTTTCTGTCCTTAACTGCAATTACCTAAAGATTTTTAATGCAATGTTTCTATTTTCTCATAGGAAAGTAGAAACCCTGATAGGTTTTCTTTCAAATGTGGATCAGCATTTTGTCTGCTGACTGGRCTGTGTCKAGTGAGCACAGAAGAAATGCTACTGATAAAGCAATGTTTTCAATAAACTGCAATTATAAAAAGTACAGGTTGATATGCTGGTGCTGTAGAATTCAGAAGACATGATCTATTGGCTTCAGTGTGCACATGGTTGTTTGGTTTTTTTTTTTTTTTTTTTTTTGTTTTTTTTTTTGCTGCAGTGGAGTAAATACATTTGAAAAGAGAGAACCTAAATTTGGTCATTTGCTTTTAGACCTACAAAAAATAGGTGAAGAGAGTTTCTAAATATTTTTAATCATGCAATACACTTTGTCCAGATGAGCTATTTAATTTAACTATTAGACTTTTRAAAATAACTCTCTGTCTCTTGAAGAGGCAGAATGAAGACAAWCACGTTTTATAGCTTGAATTGCTTTTGCTTAAGTCTGACCATTTGGGAAGATATATTCTCTGAAACACTTTAATTTTATCCCATATGTTTTGTATACATAATACATGATGCATAGTACTTCTGGGAGAGAACCTGAATAATTCACCTACAGTAATATGATCATGTTGCACTTCAGGTTATAAATGTTTTATTTACCTAATATAATGTCATATAACATAAAAAAGCTTTGAACATTCTAAATCAGTGAAGATGAATGCTTAATAAAGATCTTAGATATATTAATCATGGTTCTGTTTATATTTATTGTACCTAAATTACTTTTTATACCTACTTATTAAATAATAGAAGTAAATGAAAAATTGTATGAGAGGATTGTACAAACCATTTWGCTATGTTTTTCTTTAATTTGTCCCTTCTGGAATAAATAGTTTTCCATACTTTAAGATGGAGGGGTTGGTAACTTCACAGGTAAGGAAATAAATGTAGCAGCAGTGCTTCTCSAAAGCCAGAAAAAATAAAGGCAACTGGCTTGATAGTGGATTAAAGAATACCCAAAACAAAACAAGTGAGAAGTAAGGCATTTTTATTATTCGGAAATTATGTTAAATTTCCAGAATTTTCAAGTGTGCTTTGTAACTTTTATGGCCAAAAGTGAGGTTGAATTATATGTGTGAGGAAACAGGGACATCCATTACTGTTTAACTATAATGGCATGTGTGAGGAAACAGGAGCATCCATTGTTATTTCAGCAAGAGTCCTGTTCAATAACAGAAATGAGTCATTAATTCACATTGCTGGTCTTTAAAAGGGAAATGCTGTCTTTATTAATTCTGAGTATGTCGTTTTTTGTAAACTAAATGATGGAATTTTTCAGTGAGACCATTTGTCATAGGGATAATCTGATGAATTTAGTATGCCTGGATTGTTTATTTAACGGCTCATTTGCCATTATAAAAAAAAAAATGCAGGTGAACTCTACAGTAAATGAATGTCTGATGTCCTCTCCTCACACTTCCAGTTTTATTTCTGACAAATAAATGATGGGTCATATGTCTAGAAGTTTGTAGCATGTCTTAATTACTATTAATTTCCTTTACTCTGTCTGATATACTATTAATGTTATTTTTTTTGGGGGGGGGGTGGGGTTTGAGCCTCACTGCACACTTCAATGTAAATTTTGGTTTTGTGGTTTCTTTTGATTTTGTCAGCAATTTTTGTCTGACACAGCCATTTAGAAAAAGGGGTGAGTTAAAAAAACAGGATTAAAAGGTAGGATTTGGTAAACAGCAAATTGGACTTTGAGAAGCTTGGTTGCAAAATTTCCATTGATTCACATTGCTTTGGGCCAGGATATTATGTGAGTCCATAAGGACCTTACATTTAATACTGCGAAAGATTCAATATTGAATAATTTCTGGATATTCAACCTCTGTCTGTCATGTGTCATTCTTGACTCTAGAGTCGGCACAAAGGCAGGTGAAGGAATACTATCACAGTTGATATTGATAGTTGGACCAGAAAAGGGGAATAAATCACAGGGGTAGCTAATTACTTTTTGACATTCTAAAAAAAAAAAAAAACCCTATAGATTTATACCACAGCACAATATATCATTGTGCTTTAATTACATTTATTCTAAGGAAATGTTTATGTCCCATGGTGGTAGATATCAATATTAGAATTTTGAGGAAAGATTCAATGTGTCAAAAAATAATTTTATCATCTGAGGATTATCTGGCAACAAAAAAAAAATCAGTGTTTCAGCCATACAGTTCTGTGGTGACTCTACAAGGCCACTTGTAGAACTTGAGTGTTTTACACTCACTATGTATTTAAAGTAGTGAATGGCAGAAGAAAAACTGATAGTCTGGCACATTTTGATGAAGCTTCACAAAGTTTGTTATGTTTGTGARCCACCAACAACACAGATTAATGACAAAACTATGTGCTMACCCATAATTTTTATTTCAGTAGAGTTTGAATTTCCAGAATTTACAAGAAGCCTTTGCAGTTATGGGAAACCTTTGACTGAATTTTCCTCAATGTACTTCGAGTGTTTTATCCAGCTCATGAATGCCTCATAAATWCATGAGCTGAAGATAATTTTTATCTTTCTGAAGGTAGTTTTTAACTTAGAATATTTTTTTTTAATTCCAGATCCATCTGCTCCACCAGCTCCATCTAATATCAGAATTGCCAATATCAGTGCAAACAATGATGGAAGTGTAAATGTAGTGATTACTTGGGATCTYCCAGAAGATCCTGATATCCCAGTGCACCACTACAAAGTCTTCTGGAGCTGGACATACAGCAAATATGTAATCCCAGCCAAAAAAAAGAGAAGRAAGATTACCGATGGGGTAAGAAAGAAATCAGTAAATGGGACAGAAATGTGGTTTATTCCTGACACAAAATAGAGTGTAAGTATAAATGTGTGATAAGTTACAATGATTTCAGCCACTGGTAGAATAGTGGTCCTAATTCTTAATATCTCTTATGAGATATACACTTAATGAGTGATATCTCTCAATCTTTTGCTTTCTGAACTCTTTTCTGAATCTCTCAATCCTTTTCTTTCACTGAACTCAGGGAGGGTAGTAAACTTCTGCCTTACAATATAGGTAAATACTATAAGATTTTTTAAGAAAGATGGATACAAAGTTAAATGCTGYTAGTCCTCTAAATTTAGGCTTATTCAATTAGTGCTTCTTAAAGAGTTTGTTTTATTTAAAAAAGCCTGACATCATCGGTCACATTGCTCTTTCACTATGCAAATTAAAGTTGTGATGCTATCATAGAAAGCAATTATTAAATAGTGAGTGTAGGTCCAATTGAAAAACATATCCAAAACTCTTTAAATAAACTGCTTTACCAGAAATCTTGGCAATATTTCCTTAGCAGCAAGTTTCTATGGATTTCTTAAATAATGTATTAAATATTGCTTTGCTAGAAAGCTTTTTGTTATGATATCCTTAAGCATATTACATGTTATTTTAAAGCAGTTAATAGAAATAATTAAATTGAAATAACAATCAGTTAGAGAYAATTTGATTCTCAGTTATTTTAGTAGTGAGGATTTGGTCCTATGTCTTTGTTAACACTATGTTTTGGCTCTGGCTGTCCATTGCACTGTGATGAATGGCAGTCAGAGGGTCACAATTCCCTCCCTATCCCTCAGTCACCAAACACTGGCAAAAATAAAGAAAATAAAGGAAATAAAGGCTGTGTGATGAAATSATGCAAGTCAATCTGCATAGAAAAGAAGGTTAGTTCTTTATTGTTCTTTAAAAAAATAATTGTGGCAAGATAGGAGTAGGGTTGGACTGTGCTGCATGGAAAAGTTTGTGTTCCTCACGAAACCTGACATTGGCTAAAGACCTTCAGGACAGAGGCTTCAGCCTAAAGGTACCCAGGAGCTTTCTCTCTTCAAGCTGGTCCTTAAATCAGAAATCCCAGGGAATTTTAAAATTGTTCTGGGTCCTTAATACCTTTGCATAGGATACTTCCTATATAAGTAAATTAAAATATTAAAATAGATTCAGTATAGAATATTACAGTAATTGAGACCGATATGACCTTGAATATAGGGAAATAGAGAAGAATCAGGGTGTATTTTACAGAAAAGGCCGGCTCTTACAATAACTTTTGTATTACTCCTGATTTGTACTTTTTCTGCAGCRTRTCATGAAACTKCWCAGCAATGCCAGTGAGATTCAGGAYGCTCCACATGCTATGGCTAATYAATGGTCATTTGAAGATTCTAGCATCTCTTAGGCTAAAAATGGAAAAAGCAGGAATATTTTCATTAAAAGAAAGGTGGAAAAATATTAACTTTTAAAGATCACTGAAGATTACTTTTGACCAGTTTTTACCTTTAGATGTAGCCCAACACAAATAATTTCATACTGATTTCCATGTGAATTCATACCAGGTAGATACTGTATTAGTTTGACTACAATATTGATGCTGTTATCAAGAGCTATAGTCAATATGTCAGGACTAAACAGATAAAGATAATCAATATTAAATAYTTTTTGAYARTCCCTTTTTAAGATCCCAAGTGTTRAATATGGGATGGTTATCTTGGTACATGGTTTTCTTTTAACTCTGTACCGACTGTCAAACCTAAAAGGCACAAGGAATTCCAATGAAAACAYGGAGTAATATCTTCCATCTGGCATATGGACTAGAAGGACATTTTTAGAATTAAATCTAGACAAAATTAAAATTCAAGACTACTGAAAAGGCTGAACTCTTCTTTGCAGTATCATGTGCCTTGCCTTTAATTTATGAKTTATTGACTAGAGAATGATAAATCTAATCTGTTCTTTCTCCATTTTAGACACTTCCATGACATTTGAAACTGTATTTTTTCTATTCTGTTTTCCATTCTATATAGGAAAAGTGTTCTTTCCAAGGAGAGGGTTTTTTMAATCTGTGTTTGCTTTTTAAYTTTTATTTCAAGAGTTGAAACAAATAGAAAGTATTGACAAATGCATTAAATTTTGGACTTAGCCATCTTCAGACTGGCTGTCTCTAGCAAAAAGTTCAATTGCTTGACTAACATGGAATTGGGGAATAAAGTCCTTACATTCCTTTTGCTAAAATGATTTTGGCATAAGAGAAAACTTGTTCTTACATACATGAAAACCCCCTAGGTTTTGCCTAAACAATAGRTTTGGAATTGCCAAGGAACTGCCAAGATTATGCAAACTCAAATAGGTTGGTATTTTTTAAATGACACAGAAAAACAGAGAGTCCAATTAAACAAATCTTTTACAGAAGATTATATAAATCTGAACTTTATATATGAGTTTACTAATTTCAAAAAAGTAGCGTGCCTAAGATAACAAGCCTGCTTTTAATAAAGGCCTATGTTTCAGCAATATTGTAACTGCATTGTATATTTATTCTWTTACAGGCCCAAAATTATGTGGTCCTGGAGGGGCTCCAACCCAACAGCAACTACAACGTAGAGCTGCAGGCAGTGACACGCTGGGGTCAGATTCGCCTGAAAAGTGCTAAGGTTTCTCTSCATTTTAGCACAACTCAGGACATCAGCAATAATAGTAAGTAATCATACTCAAACACCTGGATGCTTTCTCTCTCCTTTATCTGGAGTTTGAATGTTTTATACAACGATTTCTCAAATTTAAAAAAATCATTTTCCTAAAGCAGGCTGTTCCGTAGTGCGGTGATCAAATCTTGGTCAAATAATCAAGAGTCCGGTGATCATCTCTTGAGTAACCTTTTCATGTTACATTTCTCATATAAAAAATGGTGACAATTTTTGCCTAATTCTTTGTCTTAGACCCTACTCACCTAAGATAAACAGTTGCAAAGGAAACTGAAACCTTTGCATAACTGTAGTGTTAATATTCTTTAGATGCAATACAGGTATAAATACTGACTGTGTTTCTAACTGGATGGCATAAAAAGATTTCTGTGCTTCTTAACAGGACAGTATAAACCTGCAATGTTTTCCAAAATCCTGGTTAGTTTTAGTAGCCCATTAATTTGGAATCTTGTACCACAAAAACTTRTGGCTATTATGAATTGATACTTTGATATATAAAACAAAACATTGACTATTCTATTAGGGACTCGAAAACATTCCATGTCTGACAACCATGCATTCTCAAAATATTGCACGCATAGGACCCACATTCAGATTAAATTCTCAAGATGTTCAGATGTTAGGCTGTATATTTTTAAGGTCTTTACAGCCTCACATGCTAAGTAATACAATTGAAAAATATTATTTTACTGTTACTTAACTATTATTTTATCGGAATCTGGGAGTGAACCGTGATTCTCAGTCTTGCTTAAATGCTATTTATACATTTAGAATACAATACTGGGTTACTGCTTCAGATGCTGATGGGTCTCTGGTAAACTAATACAGCAGAATTCTGGTAATAAGATGTTAAAGAATTTTAAACATTTTAAATGTTTTCCCCTGACTCCATTTCATTTTCTATTCATTTACATTCTTTCAAGTACACTCAAAGTTTAAGCCTGTAGCCATTTTCATAACATAACTGTAATTACTTTCAACCTCATTAATCAACTGCTATCATTTCCATATTGTGTTTGGGTATACATAAAATATTGTAATGTAGTTGTAAGCTATAACAGACCTTCTTGTCTATGATTGCTTCCCATATTAATGTACCAAGAAGAAAAATAAGCCTAAATATCCCTTTTTTTCCCATGTTAAATTGATCTTTACTACTTTTTTGGGCCATCTTGRGCAAAAGCAGAAGGTGAAGTTTTTGTCTCTTCCATACACTGAGTGCTTGCTTCAAATCCATACCAGAATAGCAGCTTGAATCTCCACAATCTGTATATTAGGCAAGTTTGTGTTATACCCTCAGTGAGGCCCAATATAAATGAATATAAGAATTCTTCCCTTTCCTTCTTGGCCCTCCAAGGTTGTACCTTTATACAGTCGTGCTTTTTGTCATCCCCTAAAAAAGTAGGACTAGTCTGCAGGACTGTGCACGATGTCAAAATCTTTTTAGAGTCACCACATTAAGTTTCTTCTCTATTTGTACACAGGAGATGTAATAGAAGAAAAATCATGGTGAGAGCTGTGTGTTTAGTTCCATGCCCTGAGTCATTGAGCATATCATTGGTGTTTTTGGGACATGTTCACATTTTGCTGATTCTTTTCCTAAGAATTTTTTGTAGGGTTCAGTACTTTTTTTTTTTCTCTTTGTTTTTTCCCTCTGCAAAGTTTGCTAGATAAACTAGCAAAAATTTTTTCCACACCCTTCCCTGCCCAATTTTCTGCTTCTTTTAATAAAATTCCTGTGAAATTTTATTAAAAAGAAGATCTTTGTTAAAGCTTTCCCTCCTCAAAAAGTYAGGTTTTTCAGAATCTGATGCAGGTCACTTCTAAATCACTACTTACAAATCCTCTACCAATTGGAGTTCATTCATGCTATGCCTCACATGTGACTTTGGCTGTTTTATCATTTTCTGTCCACTCCAGTGGCACTTCTTTCCTATCATTGCTTTCCTATCACARCTAGATTAAAATTCCTTCCACAATTCTGCTTGGATACTCTGCCCTCTCCTTGGTTTTTTTGCCTCAGAAAACAGACCAGCAGTAGTTTTTGTGAAAGTCTGCTATCTGCTTATGTCTAATTAGTACAGACTTTCTAATGCCTTGTGCTTTATTTTGCTTTACTGGGGTGACCTTTCTGTACTAAAAGGTTCATTAATTGTATTGTTTTCCAAACTAGAGAAACTATACCCAGCACAATATTTTTGTAATCTCATGTCTTTCAAGGCTTTTGACTGTTCAAATTATGAGCATCCATTTATTTAATAAGCAGTGTTTTCTTTTTAACTGCAAATCAGTGCCTGTATCAGCTAAAGCACATTTTTGTTTTAGAGTATTTCAGTAATAAGTTTGTAGACAAAACTGAGAATCCTTTCTCTTAAAGCCATGAGGTAAARGATTCAAGATTCTTTGACCCTAAACCGCTGATATCGCCCATTTTAATCGATAGAGCACTCTGCTGAGAGGTGTATTTAGGCCTTTTTGTATGTTTTTTGAAAAATGTTTGTTGAAAAATGGTTTGATTATTGCTTGCATAGAAAAGCAAGTAAAAATGAAGAGGAGATGCAAATTCATCTTCTGAACCTCACTCAGTTTAGTCAGGTACAGAGCCAATCCTGCTTGATGTACTTTTGAGAATACTCAGAAGCACATGGAAAAATATGAAAAAGAAACAAAAAAAAAAAAAAAAACAAAACCTGAAATATTATCTAGGACATGACATTCATGGCTTGTCTTTATTTTGGGAATTCCATGGCTTTTGGGAAGTAACTCCAGAAGCAACATGCCAATTTTGCTGAAGTCCCACTGTCCAATGGTCTGCACTGCGTAGAATGGAATTCAGCTCTGGTTTTTAGGTGTCTGGTCCTATAGTCAGAGYAGAGATGGCCCATAACCCGCTGAAGTAATTTAGTCCTACAGACCTTTGTGAGCTTTGACCTCGCCCTCTGGCGTTACATTTCCCCACACTCAGAAATGCGATGCCTCACTATATTTGTGTGCTTCACTTCTGGGAAATGTAGCAAGATTTTTGCTTGATCTTTATATAGAAATACTCTAAATTGGTGTCCTGGTTTTTGTGGAAGTGGATCAGACAGAGAATAGCAAARCAGAGATTTAATGAAATTAAAATAATTTAAGTTGAGGAATGCCTAATAGGTTTTAGTTTGTACTTCTTTCCATAACTTTTTGATTTCCGTTTAGACAGTAGTAACATTATGGTTATCTTGAGAAGGAATTTCCTGAAGTTTGTTAGTTTAATTTAAAACAAACAAAATGAAGAATCATACTGGATTCAGCAAAGGGTTGAGAAAGTAAAATTTCATGATAAAACAAGTGAGTTTCCGGTGAAGCCGCATATAAGACAAAATGTTCAAGTTTATATGTGACTTGTACAATAACACAATTATTGAAACCTGAAACTTTTTCTCTCAAGTATGTAAATAATAATTTGCCACTTCCTTGTTACTGGACTTTTTAGTTTTCATTAGGTGTAATATTTAATTAAAAGCCTTTTTTTGTTCATAATCTGATCCTCCTAATTGGATCACATGCATTTGCTAGTGTGCAATCAAAAGTGCAGTTTGAATGAAAATTTCTTTCTTTTCAACTGAAAATRTCTATAAGTACCACCAACCCAGCTAAATGTTGATAAATTATTGCCAAACAAAATGAATGATAAAAGCCATCCAATTACAATTGCTTATTGGAAGCAAGGTGCATAACACCAAGGGAATTGCTGAAAGAAAATTCCACTGATTGCARTGTTTTCCTAAGYATTCACCATTCACTGYTGGGAACAGGAAAGTGGGCAAGACYTATCTTTAATYTGTCCACRGTGTTCYTATATAGCATAGCAGAGGACTGTGTTTGCTTTGATGTGGTAACCACATGTGGMACTGTGTGGGTTACATTCAATGCTGTCCTTGCATTTTGTGCATATTCAAACACTGCATGAATGTAAAAACTGTGAAGTGTTACAGAGAACTATACTGTGCCTGTTCAAAAAGTCAGTGTGTTAACATTTTTTGTTCTTGAAGGTATGACTACAGTCCATCTCCTTATGACTCTTTGGTAAAAACATATTTATGTGTTAAAACATATTTATCTTTTTTGGTCACTGTCTGAATTTTTAGACTGAATTTCAAATGAGTGATTTTTCAACCACTATGGACAGTTGTTTCTTTATATTTGTTTCATTTAGGTGAGAAACTGAAAKAAGATCATTTGGATTAAAGATACTATTATCTTAGGAATTTCATCAAATTTATCATGATCATTACACAGCACTGCAGTTAGCTAAACAGATTGTTCTATGTATTGTAGAGGAACGGACATCTGCTGAGAAGCCACAGAAAGGACTGATAGATTCTTACCCGACCTTTCAGAGAAGGAAAACCACTCGTTTTCTTAAAGTTGGAGCTCCTTTCTATCAGGACAACCAACTTCAGGTCAAAGTCTACTGGAAGAAGACAGGTTTGTCAAATTTTGCTTTATTATTTTTTCTAAGGAGGACACTCATCATCCATCTCAGAACTGTAGAACATTAATACAATGTTATAAGTTATTCTGAGTTGATTCTTGCACCTGCCCTTCCATCCGTTCACCATCACATTAAAGTGAAACATTTCCTCTCCTCCTTGTGTTATGTCTGTGTAARCTTTGGTTCTGCTGACTACACACACATTTTGAATATTTGTCCCTGTCTTGGCTATGCTAGTTTTCTTTTTTCTAGCTTCCCCCATTATTATTTCATCTTTAGGTGACTTTGTGGAAACCTGGAATAATTTAAAGTTTAAATAAAAGTTCAGGCATTTTTAATCAGGAATGTTCAGTTTAGTGGAAAATGTGGTTTTTGTTATCCAAAGTGAGATTTATATGTTCTGAGCTTGGTTGGGACTGATCACCTTAAACTTTAGACTTCTGCGAGTGAGATGTCAACTCGTCGTCCAAGCTCCTTTTATTGTCAGAAAAGCAAAGCAGGTGACTTCTGAAGCAACTCATCCCCCACAGCAGCAGAATTGCTCTCTGGAGATGCCTCTCTACTGAGAGCAGAGGGGAGCCTAGAAAGCTCTTCTGTAGAAAGCTTAGAGATGCCTGACATCTCTCTGTGAGCTGAGGTTCTATTCTTGGCASTGTGAGTTGAAAAAAATGAGGGACAGGATTCAAAGATGAGGAGCCAGTGTCTCCCACAGGCGTCAGACAGGGTTGTGCAATTCAGTCTGCAGTCAGGATTGAGCCCAGTGGAACAATCAATCCAACTGCAGCTGCTTTCCTGCCAGCCCCTTGCCAGGAGAAAGATCATGTGTCCTGAGACCAAAATGCTGGCACCCCACTGAAATTCACCTTGTGAATTTTCCACAGTTAGTTATACTTAATGGAGGAAAAATCCTGAGCAGAACARCGATATTCTTGTTCCAACATAGATACCTTGAAATAGGTGTTCACTATTTATAATGGTRCTATAACACTGCTGTTGAGCTTAGAGCCATTGCACCATAGAAACCTAAATGTTTCCATCTAAATCTGGAGCTGAATCTCACCATCTGCTGCATACCTGGAGGTAATATTGGTATTAAAAGCTATAAATATCCATAAAAAGAAATAAAGTAGTCAGCATCTTTACAGCGACTCATAGTTTGGAAATAAGAGTATTTCAAAGTGGCATAATTTCCAGAACTGGAGAATGTCAAAGAAAGATATGTCACAGGCCTGTCAGAAATGTCATGGATTATGTGCTGTCACCTTGTGCCAGAAGTTGCTGACTGTACAGCTGACTCACCTTGTGTGAAGCTGTGTGAAGGGGACACCCAAAGCACATTTTGGTCCTGGGGAAAAGTGGGGGAAAGTGCTGTGAGGGGCACTGGGATGTTTAGGTACCTGCCCCAGCCATACCATGGAAGATGCCTTCATTTTTCTTCCAGAACAAACAGTGATAGCAAAGGTTTGTGAAGAGGGGCAGAATGTGGCAGTTCGTSAMACTTACCTTTTTCTYTTSTTTTTTRAAAAGAAAATATCAGTGTTCTGAGTGACAGCACATGCAGTAATTCAGCAGGAACCATTGCCTCATGTGGAGCTGAAATACAGCAAATCACCTGCTCCTGAGAAGCCAGCAGCTTCTGTAGTCCCTGCAAGAGTTTGGAGATTATGTAGTGTGTGGATGAGGCGCAGTAAATTTGCTGGTGACAATTTACTGCAGAGCAGGTCTRTGTGAGCGTGCAAGGAACACAGCAGGAGGATCACATTGGCTGTGTCCCATCTTCCTGAAAAACAGCCTTTACTGAGCCAGCTGCATTGGGAACTGTACCCACACATCTTTATCCTTTATGAGCTGCACTGTCTTAAGTTGTGTTCAGGGAGTTGTAGGAGGTATTAGAGTGCAGCAAATGTAATGGGAAATTCTGAGAGAGACTGTACCTGAGCCTGCTCATTGCCATGAACATTTCTTTTTTGCTTCTGCTTTAGCAGAACATCTATTTTTATTGTAGGTAGGCAGAGTTCAAATCCTTCCTGACAGAAAATTGACCTCTTCRTCTCTGACATGGTGGATGAACACAGGAGTCCCTGTTGATTGCACTAATGTTCTCATTTTTGTATATTTTGCTATTAAAAATCAGCACTTTCTTGGTGGAGAAACACRGCCATTTTATAATGCTGAATTAGAATGTATAACTGTAAAAAAATAAAAATTAAGAGGTCAGCATGAAACCATGTGAAATAAGTAGGTTGATAAGAATAAGAGTTCCCATGATAAAAAAAAAAAAAGTAGAAGAACTGAAAGTGTCATGTTTAAACATGTTGGACATTTGTAAATTGATCAAATTTCAGTTGGTTGTAGTAGTTTTTGCTTTGTCTGTTTTGGGTTTTAAGTTTTTTTACTCAGTCTGAAGAGCTAAAAATAGGTCAGAATTATAGAAGAATTTAAATGGGCTGGAAGGGACTTCTGGGGATCAGATGGTCCAACCATCTGCTCAGAGTAGAACTAACTCTGAAGTTAACTCAAGTTATTCAGTTCCGTCTCTAAAGTCATGTAACAGATATTGTCATTGTTTTTTTTCAGTGACAGGGAATTTATCCTTCATGACTAGCAGCCTGCAGAGGCCATCTGAGTTTATTRCAACGTGCCTTAGGATTTACAGACAGTGTAGTGCTGTCTCTTGACCATTCAAAGAKAGTTCTTCCATGACTATGAAGATGTATTCCTTAGGGAGCTTTGCAGATGTGCCTCTAGGATGGCAGTGAAAAGAACATGGTGATGACATCTGGGCTGAAGCTCTTGGTTTTATATCATCCTTCTGAATAGAATTCATCACACCTCTGTCCTGTGCAACAACTGCACTGGGGGGGTGTTGCAAACTATTACCAAACTGACTTTGTTATACAGTAAAGGAGTGATTGCACAGCAGTACATAGAAACTGAACATAGTGTTGAATAAAAGTCTGAGAAAGTGGATAAATTTCCATATGTGTGCATCATAATGTGCCACAATTTGGTGAGCAGGAAAGGCTTATCTGGGCCTRTTCTTCAAGTGTCATTTCTTAAGTCCCATTAACTTCAGTAAGTATAAGGCATGAATACAATGCAGAATCTGGACTTTACATTAAAATAAAGCTCTTTCTGAAATAATCTTTCAGTTTGAGTAGTTTGGTATGATGACAGTAATCACTCCAGGATGTATGCTAGCAAAAATATCCAAACTTCAAGCAGTACAAGGTACTTAGCAAATGCATGGGATGTTTGCTAGACAGAGCCATCCTTAGGCATGCTGCATATGAATACAATAGCTCCTTTCTGAAGGAAAAAAAATGTCCTTTCCTTGCTGCCTCTCATTTAGGCCTGGGATTAGAGAAACACAACATTCCTTAAACAGCATGAATCCCCCTTTTGTAAGTGAAAAGTGGAATGTGTTTGTGCCCAGATTTTTTGGCCATCTGAATTGAGAAATTGTCAAGTAGTGGAATCAAATTATACAAATCACTTGTAACTCCTTGGTGCTGAGGTCATAGAGTACCATCCATTAGCAAGAAGGGATGCACTCTGAAACCCTTATTTAAAAAGAGTAGATACTTAGGATGATTAAGAACCTCCCTATCTTGTGCAGTAATCAAGACTGAAAGTGTGAGAATTAAAAGATGCTTAAGTTTTCTCTATTTTTCTGTGGTTGGGTAACTAGAGAGCTGAGTGTTGGAGGCAGCTGAAAAGTGTTCAAGTTGCTGCAAATTTGTGTGAAAATAAGATTTTGCCCACAGACAGAAGGAAAAAAAATCCCATTTTTTATAAACTCACTGCATATATTCTCATCACTTGCTGCAATAATTATAATACATTAAAATATCAGAATGTAATTTCTYTCCAAAGCACTTGTCACAACAATATTTTCTAACTCATTACTCTGCCTTCACTACCATTTTCTTAGTGCCTGTTATTTGAGTATAATACAACTCTCCTTGCTCAGGTAAAGCTTTAGTTTCCTTTTCTTTGAATTAAGTCTATGTGCATTTACTTCCCCCTGTTTAAATTAAACGTTTTAAGTACTTCTAGATATTTAAAATCAATATATCTACCCCTTGGTTTTGCTTAAAAAGACAAATATTTAAAATGCATTAAGACTTGGCTTCAGGCTTCTTTCTTTGTGTTTCTGTAAATGCTAAAGCAGAAGAAAAAAAGAGCACTTAAGGCAGGGAGAGGCAGAGAATCCTCCATTGTCTGACAAATCAACCAAACAAGAATAACSAATTCAGTAACAGAAAAGGATAAAATGCAAGGCAAGGCAAAGCAAACAGAAAGGTAACACCAATGCTTTCAAACCCAGATCTTAGGAAAACAAAATTAACTTTCAYTTAGTTCAGAGACATAAAGGAAGTGACTGTGTGTGCTCACTCTTTGTTTGTAAWAAGGTATTTCATACAGCAGGTTTTAAAATGAAAGCTTGCCCATTGATAACAGATATCAAATGGTCCTTTCTCATGGAAGTTGAGAGCCATTGAAGGTAAAGAGATCCTTCAGTGGCAGCTGGAGTTTCCAGCTGTTGCTGTACAGAATTCAACAGTACTTGCTTAACGCTAAAGCATTATTTAGTTTAGTACTAGCTGTTGCACTGGGCAGATTAGTGTTTGAGCAGCTGGCCATATTCTGATTATTGATATTCAAGCAGTAAAATACTTGTACTTCAAGGTATCACTGTGGTCCAGATGGTTCTTTCCACAAAATGACCTGACTTAATTACAGTGAAGCATACACTGATATATTGCCCTCAGACTTCCATGAGAATACAGAGACTTTGTCTCAGTAGTGGTCGATTGTGTGGGTATGAACAATGTGCATTAGTATTAAGGGATTTAATTGGCAAAGCTGGCTCTAAGCACAGGACTCTTTGGMTAGATCAACTCTTTAGAAATGCACTAGTAAATATACAGAATTTGCTTTTCCACATGGTCCACATCTGGCTCGGATTCCTGTATCCTATGGGCTTCCA